TCTTATACTCTAGGATGTATACTAGAGAAGCCAGTAGGATGTATACTAGAGAAGCCAGTAACTCATAACTGCCAATTTCCAGAAGAAAAAAAAATCCCCCAGGAAGCCTGAGCTCTCTACCCACATGGGGATTAACAAAGTGCCCCTCTGCCTTCACAGCCAGACTGTTAGTGAAGGCATAGTAGGGAGCTTAAATGGCCATTATCACCTAGTAGCTTAAATGGCCATTATCACCTAGTAGTAAACACTCTGGCCTGTGTCATTGGAGCTCAAATGGGGAATCTAGACTAACAGACCCCTTGTTGTTTATTAAGTGATATACTAGAACTACCCTCAACACCCAGAATATACCCTCAACACCCAGAATATAATCAAAATTTACTATCATACTAAGAACCAAGAAATTTTCTAGAATCAATAGCCATAAGCACCAAGGGACAGCTGTTGGTATTATTTGACACAGGTGTTCTGAGATAAATGAGATCCAGCACAGTCGTGTGATATGACTGTAGACCTGACCACCATAAAAATGCTTCCACAAGCAATTACACTACCAGCTCTCTATGCACCGTGATGCTGGAAAACTCATGCCCACAGTTTTCAAATACTAGCAGGTGAACTATGCTATAGTTTCCTTGGAGCTTCTAGACTCAGACTAGAAAGAAAGGCATGATGATCTACTTCTAAAAATAGCCCGTGAGAACCCTGTGAGTCTCAACAAAATACTGTCCATTAAATGCTGTAAGATGAGCACTGACGGTTACACTCAAAATAGTGACGGCAGCACTAGACTCAACCTTATCACTAAGTGTGGAAACGACACAGGACCAGGCAGCTGTTTCATTTTCGTGCTCATGGAGTAAACTCGATGGAGTTGCTGTTCAGTCACAGTGACCCTACAGCACAGAGTAGATGGAACTGCCCCAGCGAGTTTTCAAGGCTGCCAATTTGACAGGAGGAGACTGCCACATGTTTCTCCCATAGAGCACTTCAACCAACTGCTATGACACCAAAGCTCCTTCAGAGAACTTAACGTACAAACCGTACAAGTAACCCATTCAAAAAGCTGAGCAAACAGTATAAACAAACCCAAAATAATTCTCACCAGACACATCATGAATTCTTAGGCACCAAAGACTTACAAAGTGGCAAAAAAAAAAAAAAAGCACCTTATCTGTAAGGGATAAGATCATTCAAATGCCAGGGGATTTCTCATCAGAATCCATGGAAGCCAGAAGAAAACACAGAAAAGCATTTTTCAAGCACTGAAAGGCAACTGTCAGCCCAGAATCCTATATCCAATGACAATATCCTTAAGAATGAGAGCAGATACTCAAAGGAAAAATGAAGGAATTTTTCAACAGCAGATGTACCCAAAGAGAATAGCTAAATGTTTTTGAAACATATAAGGAATCTTTGAACATCAGGAAGAAGGAACAACAGTGTAGGTAAAAATATAAGGTCCTATCCAGGAGTCCTGGTGTGGCACCACAGAATAAGCACTGGACAGCAAGGTATGTTTGAATTGTAAAGTCATCCATTCATACTCACCAGCCACTCCTCGAAAACCTTTGCAGGGTCACTGTGAGTCAGAACCAACTTGACTGCACGTAACAACAATCCAGGATACCAGGGAGTTTGGTGGCTTCATAGGATGAGCACTGGTCTGTAACCAGAGGTTGTGTGAGCCCACCAGCTGTTCCAAGGGTGAAAGATGAGGCTTTCTGCTCTCAACAATTCAAAAGCTTTGGAATCCCTTTACAAGGTCACAATGAGTTTGAACCAACTTGACTGCACTGTGTAACAGCAGCAATCCAGAATCCCACACTGCATTGATTCATTGTGCTTCCTGTTCTCCCCTGATCTATGATAGTGTCTTGGTCTTTCCTTGAAGATACATTTTTAATAAGCTCTCTAGGTCGTTCTCAGAAGTAGAATTTGGACTTACACCTATTCTGAACCCAGCAGCAGATTCTGGACACACCTCACTGATTCACAAAGTCAAAGAAGCCATGTTAGTTTGTTCTCTTCATCCAAAGTCATGCTGGTAGCAATCAGGAAACAAACACTCAAAAGGAATTCTGAAAAGAATATAATAAAAATACTATTAACAGGTATAGGCAAGCTTGAGGAACAAAATAGTTAGAACCCTATAGAGGTTGCTATGCATTGGAACCAACTTGACAGCACTTACAAGTGCTAATTTTACAACTCCATTCTGATATGCTTGAAAGTAATATTGAACATAATTAACCAGTGTTGTTAGAAATGACATAATTGAAAAGTGAGCTAAGTATGATTTCTTTAAGGTTTCTAATTTCAGTTTAATTTTTCTGGCTAGAAAATTTATGATGAATATCTTTATGTTTGTAGCATACAAAGATCATCTATTTCAGTGTCATCGAGTTCAGACTTATAGGGACCCTGTATATAGGGCTTCTGAGGGGCAGCTGGTGAGTTTGAACCACCAACATTGCATTGTCCAGCAGTGCTACATGTAGTTAACATCAAGTTTAGTATCTGTTCTTACCAATTTAATATGTGTGGATCTTCTATAGGTAATGCATTCTCCTTGATCTCACAGTAGGATGGTACTTAACTACTGTTACACCAAGTAATGACCATTTCGCTTCTCTTGCAGAGAGCATCATGGGAATGCTATGCAGCCATCTGTCAAGGATAACAGTGGTAGCCATGGCTCTCCCATCAGTGGAAAATTAGAAGGCATCTTTTTCTGCTGCAGCACTGAATTCAATACTGGGAAGCCACCCCAGGATTCACCTTACGGAAGATACAGGTTTGAAATTGCAGCAGAAAAACTTTTTAACCCCAATACTAACTTGTACTTTGGGGACTTCTACTGTATGTACACTGCTTATCATTATGTGATTCTTGTTATTGCCCCTGTGGGATCACCAGGAGATGAATTCTGTAAGCAGCGCCTTCCTCAGCTAAATTCCAAGGATAATAAATTTTTGACCTGCACAGAAGAAGATGGGATGTTGGTTTACCATCATGCCCAAGATGTCATTTTAGAAATCATTTACACCGACCCTGTGGATCTCTCTTTGGGCACCGTGGCAGAAATCACTGGTCATCAGCTCATGAGTTTGTCTACTGCAAATGCAAAGAAAGATCCCAGCTGCAAAACCTGTAATATCAGTGTTGGACGTTAATAATGCCCACTTTCTTACTTAGCGCCCCTTTTCTTCCCGTAGGAGCACTGATCCTCTGTTGCTCATTTTCACCACCAGATGTTTTCCACTAAAGCATGCACATGCCGCTATGACCGAAATCTGGCTGCCGTATTTCAAATTTCATTCAGAGTCGTTCTAGTGTTTCCTATTCCCTACCCTTCCTATGACTCTCAGTGATGAAGTATCTTAAGTTTTCCTTCTGACACTTTATTGTCTAGATGCTGCAATGTTCTTTTTCTTTTATGCCAAACATAACACAACAACACTATTATAGACCGCTTTAGCAAATATCAAATAATGGCTTATATAAATGGTGTTTAAATATGCATTTATTTTAATCTACTGAACAAATACTGGAAGAACTCCAAACCGCATGAAAGGGTGTTAACTGCAGCATGAGTTAAATTAAATCCTGAAGCCTAGAATTGTCAGCACTTCCAACATGTTGTTTGACAGTGTTATTTATGTTATTTATATTAGCTTAACAGGAAACAACTACTGTGTTTCAACAAAATAAATATAATAGAAAAATAATTTATTTGTATTGTTTTATAAAATATTTACAATCATAGAATATATAGAGTTACATTTTAATAGCAATTGTATACATGTCACGAAACCATTTTCCTTATCAAAGTTTTAGTTTGTAAACCTCAAATAGATGTGTTACCAGTCCTGTTACAAGTAGATGACTTTAAACACATTTGTGAAGGACATTATTCTGATTCATAAGTTATAAAATGTCAAGGAAATATAGACAAAACAAAACAATAAGCCTCTGAAATATTCTTGCCATTCAAACTGTATGAAAATGTGTATTTCTTTAACGTCATGCCTAAAACATTACAGAAAATAGAAATACAAACATTACGTGAGAGAAAATGTTGATCTTTTACGTGTTTATACAAAATAACAAAATAATATCTACTTAAAGTTGAAGCAAATAAAATATTCTGACTTCTTTAGTAAGATGTCATGGCAAACAATTATTAACTTGTGAGAATTTTGACTTTACAAAGTATAGATAGCTCTTGGAACATTAAGAAAAATGCGTATTCCCAATGAAAAAATAGTTATAGATTCTTAGGTATAATAAACAAAGATTAGCAATCTCACCTATGATGGATCACATATTATATACTACAGACACTTATCTATCCAAAATACCTGTTTGCAAATTTTAATGCAGTATTTTAATATAAACATCTGTCAATTATAGACAAAGATAGTAACTCACAAAGTACATGCTATCAGAATGAACTTTGGTAATCAGAAAAGTAAAATTTCAAATAACAGATAAAATATTGTGCTATTTTTTTTATCTAGAATTAAAAAATTAGCAGTGATACATTCTAATATACTTTAGGATTACTGAAAGCTTAGCAGACTTAAGGAACAATGTATATTTTGAAAAGTAACAAAAATTAATTAGAAGCTCCAATAAGTTCCTTTCTTACTAGCCTTTTCCATACATCAACATAAGCAATCTTTGAACATTAAATACTTTAACAAGTAGCCCATTAAACTGGATGCTCTATGCTCTTTTGTTTTCATGAAATAATTTAAAAAATAATTCTATTGACTTGACTTAGTTTTCTCCTCGGTGTCAAACAGCCTGGATCCTGCCCACCTCCCCCTCCAATTAGACTACATTTTTTTCTTCCTGTTTAAATGTCTTCTCATATACAACTACAGTTGCCATCCTAAGACTACTTCTAAAGTGCTTTCATTTTCAGTATGTCGAAACCACTTAGCAGGAATGGCAGGAGAAAATAAATTTGATTTAAAAAAATTCTTTGTCCTTGGGTGAAAGTGATCACGAACATTTCCTGACCTCAAATAGTTTTGGCCACATCTTGCTTGCTGATGAGGACTTCTAGTAGTCTCAGTTTGGCTTTTATGTGCTTGTATTCATAGTACTCATCTGCCATGGGGATCCTGTCTTCCTTTTGTGGACTTCTGCAAAGTGGAAAATATAATTTGTCAGTTCATTATGAATTAAACCATTACAGATCCTTTTAAAATCATGCATACATGAGAAAGTACAGGATAGCAGTTTCTGTTTTCTTGTACCATGTGTTTTTCCCCTTTGGGAAACTGACATAGAAAACGTAGAAATGTATGGCCCAGTACCATAGATATGTAATAATGGGAGTAGAGAAAAAAGAATACCCTCAAGGTATTCCTTGTCTACTTATTCTCCCCTTACTTCCCACACTCCCATACCTAGTAAAATACTCAGCCCTTAGAATGAGGATTATAAAAAATACCAATGTAAAAACACTTCAGTTAGGTTACCAACATAATTTATAAATTTTTGATGACAGTGAGAAAAAGACAGTCACTACCTTACAGTCACTACCTTACAAACTGGAAACCATTTCCAAGTTTCCTGGTAATATAATGACTGTCTCTGCTAATGTGAAGTAGAATCACTGAGCACTTCCATCATAGAGGCAATTTATGAGTCTGAAATGCAATGATTGTCTTTTACACACGAATTCTATTAATACTAAACATGTGACAATGCATATTTTTCAACATGTGCATTCTAACTACTACATGCTCTTTCCCTGTACTTTGAGAAATAATCCTACAAAAATATATTACCATGATAAATTTTCTATAGGCAAAATACTTGCTTCAAGGTTTCAGAGGGTTCTTGTCATCTTGGCTGATATAAGGATGGTCAACTGTTGTTCAGACATTTCTACCCATGGCAGTTGCAACTGAATACAAACACAAATACTCTCCAGTATTATTAAGTGCCATTGAGTCAATTCAACTCATAGTGACCCTGTACAGTTTCCAAGGAGCAGCCAGTAGGCTTGAACTGCTGACCTTGTTATTTGCAGTGCAGTGCTGATCCTACAGTACCACCCAAACCTACCACCACAGAGTCGATTCCAAACCATAGCAACCTTCTAAGACAAGTTAAATTCCCATAGGGTTTCTAAGTCTATCAATCTTTATGGAAGCAGTCAGTCACATCTTCCCACAGAGCGGATGATGGGTGTGAATTACTGCACCACTTTGTCACCAAAGTTCTCTACTTCGTTCTTACTACTCAGGAAAAGATGTTTCTTTTCAGGAATGTACTTACTTGTGCTGTAACACTGTTGTGGGTTTTCTAGTACAGAATTTAGAATACATAAATTCATAGACAGGGTTCTTTTAAATGTTGCCTGAAATACTAAATGGAATTTCTTCATTTCCATCTTATACTATGTGCCAATCTTATAGCTGGGTGTCTGAATATCACCTTGATTTGTGTAAGCAGATGTAAGTGAAGAAATGGCCCAATTTATAGGGTGTCACTTAATAATCCATGACCTTTTTTTCCTGATCTTACATATCCCTGTATTCGTCGTCCACAGGTGTTCATTGAGTCACTTTTGACTCACAGCAACCTTGTTTTTTCCAAGGAGAAAAAATGGGTTTCAAGCGCCCACATTGCAGCTAGTAGTCCTGTGCTTTCTTCAATGCCACACTAGGACTTCCATCTATTTGCATGGTTATTTTACTTTATTGCTAATTGTTGTTAAGTACCATCGAGTCGATTGCGACTCATAGCAAGCCTGTATAGGGTTTCCGAGGAGTGGCTGGTGAG